CTAGTGACATGGGTCATGTCTGCAGGGCAGAATGAGGGTGTAATTGAGCATAGGTAGCTGAAACCGCAGTAGAAAGGGTAGTTACAGCGATGCACGCCTGGAAAACAGGGTAGCAACCAGGTTGCACCTATAGCTGGATGAGTGTTTGTTGCAAAGAGATGCTGAGAAACACTTGCTCCTGACAATACTCATCAGGCAGGAGACATGCTGGAGCTTCAAATATTGTAGTCTGTGGGCACGTGGTGTGGGGATGGCACCAGAACCTGGCACTTCAGCACTACAGAAAGCAGCATCTCTCCTGGGAGCGTCAGCAGCAGCACTGGGTGTCCCACTGTCACCTTCTTGGGCTGTAGCTGTTCAGTCTGAGGCTTCTTCATTTCGTTGAGCTCTGTATTTTGGAGAAAGGGGTGGAGAGCGGTATTTAATCACCTAATTGTAAGGAGCCCCTCCTAGAGAAAGCTGAAAAGCTGGACAGGAGCAGTAAGTGTATGTATGCTGTAATTGTATCTTGGGGCATTTGATCCTTTCTGATTAATATGCTTAATCCTTTAGGTATTTTGCACCTACCTTGGTTCATTTCTTTTTAAATGTGCTTCAAGTCAAAAGATGAACTTGGAAACACCAAAGGTGCTGATGCTGCCTGGTGTCTGTCCCTTTACGTGGCTACATAAGACACTGTTTGCTGTGATGCGCTGCACTCCTGCCCACTGAGTGGGGAGAAAAGCTGGAGAGCGTAAAAAGGTCAGACGTATCCACTGAAACTAATGATAAATATAAAGCCATCCTCGGGGAACAAACTGCTTAGTCCTCTGGGCTCTTAGTCCTCATAAGAGATTGTTGTCTGAAGAAAAAGGTCAGGAAAAAACAGGAAATCGTTTTGTATTTTTTTTTCTTTACACTGATGTATTTCCCAAATGCTCCTTCATTTAGCCAGTGACAGATATTTTTTCTCTGAGTCCCAAGAGGTTTAAAAGAGGTCCTGAGTTATAAGTATGAGAAATCACCACTGGGAAAATGGAGCTTAAGACTAATGTTTCTGCAAAGGAGAAAAAGAAACGTGYGTGCCCTTTGGCTGCTGTGTAACCAGAGCATGGTCCTTTCAGCATTCCTTCCCCTGACATGCAAAACCCTTTCCAAACTCCCATCCTGTTGTTCCTAGGATCTGTGTCAGGCTGGATGCAAGTCATAAAGCAAAGGAAGTCGCCATGTGGCTCAATAAACCTCTCTCGTTTTTTATTATATTCAAAGTAAACAACTCTAAGGTGACACCTCCCAGGCACAGGCRAATAAAACGACCTGAGTCACGTCGCTTTTATGGTCTGTGTGGAGGAAGGGCCGCTGCTGTCGCTTTGAACTCRGGCCTGGGGCACAGACCCAGCGTGGCTGTGCCCCTCAGCTCGCTGCTGCAGCATCAGTGCTCCTGTGCACTGTGGAAAAAGTGCTCGACGTTTAACTGAGCTCCTCAAGAAGTTCAGCTTTATAAAAAGCAGGTGTCTGGCTTCTGAAACATGGTTCAAGCAGAGCTGATTAGAAACATGTTGGTCTCAGTGTTTAAAGGTTGAGTCACCTAACGTTTTAGTGCTACCTAGTCTCCTCATCCAGACATCATAAACGTTTCAAGTTCTGTTCCTGAAAACTATTTCTGGGCTAGGTTGTTGAGCAGACAATTCACTCACCCGATTTATGGATGTTTCTTTCAAAAAAAAAAAAAAAAAAAAAGGGAAGAGGTTTATCTTAGAGCAGAACTGAGTATACTCCCACTTACATGTCCTTTGGGGAAGAGGGGTTGCTTTTTGGGTGGATGTGGCGTGGAGCTTGGCGGGTGCGCAGTGGTTGGTGCTGTCACTGCCGGGGCACTGTGATCCTGCAGCTGTCACCCTGATGAGCAAAGAACAACCCCGAAGAACTGCCGCGCTCTCCGAGAGCCAACACACAGTGCAAACGGGGATGGAGGCTGTTCCACAGCACTGAGGCGCCCAAGAGGGATCGCGCCGCAGACTGCASATGTCTCTTCTGCAGTAAAGCTCTTACTGCCATCTACTGTGCAAAGGCTTCGGGCCAGGTGGAGAYACAAGTTCCACCTCTTGGTTCTCCGAAAAGCAAAAACTGCTGTGTTCTAGATCTCTTGCTCTCCTTATTTGTCTTATTTTCAATATCAGAAACAATGAGTATAAAGCRATCTTTTACATACTGCGGGCAGAAACATCGGTTGTCATTGAATGTTACCACTTCATTCTTTGCATCCTCCATCAACATCAGCTTCCTCTATACCTACGTATGCAGCTATATCTGGATATGAGTATAAAAAGCATTACAATTGCTGCCTTCATTTTTTGGGAGTCCTCATTTGGCACAAATTTAAATCATGTTCTTTTTTGACRGTGTTATCTTCTGCCTGGTAAACTGGTAAATGTTTTCGGACAGACTTTTTCCTTTTTATTTTTTAAATATAGAAATAATTTGTTCCTTTAGAAAAGTCACGGTCTCAAAGATTAATGAAACATAAGGTTCATTAMGTTCACATAACAGCACATAACAAACATAACTTTATGTAAGTTCAAAATCAATCCAAACACAAGAGTAGCTGTAGTTCTATTTTTAAGGAGCCATACTTCAGGCTGTATTAATGAAGCTTCATGATCTGAAAATATGAAATGTTTCCAGGCTCTGCTGACACCAGAGCATTAGCAGAATTAGTATTTCACACCTTTGAGAGTGGGGTCCAGCAGTGCAGAGCAGTATACAACTTAACTCTGTGAACGATAGGAAGAGGCACCCACGCTTTGTTTCCAGACTTCATGTTCCTCAGCCTTTGGAGTTTGCCTCACTCGAAGAGCAAGAATCCTAAAAGTGTGATTTGAAAGTGTGATCAAGAATCCTTGATCGTGTGGATCAGGGTGGCCTGTGCAGGTGCTCGAGGGTGAGCGCAGAGACCTGCTGGGTTAACTGCCSCGCTGTGTCCCCACCGCCCTAGCTGGGCACATCCACCCAGGATCTTCAGATCCAGTGTGTGGATCCTCCTTGGCAAGGGGGCAGAGCAGAAGAACATCCAGCTGYTCTAGTCCTAAACCCTGTGGAGTTTTTCCACCTTGCCAAAGAGATCTCCAGGTGGCCTTTTCTGGCTGTGTTACATAAGGAAGCCCAGTTACAGCTGGGAATCTGTCCCTGTATTTTTAAGTGACTGATGTACGTGGATAGAAGAAAAACTTTTGAGGGGTAAATTTAGAACTGAATTAGTCTATTGCTTGCAGTTCTGTTTCTTATTGCTATMAAGGGGAGAGAGGTTCTTGGCAGCTCCTAGGGCCTGGCAACTCACCTCAATGTTCAACAGAAACGGTKGTTCTGAGGAAGATACAACGCACAACTGCAGGTCACTGTTTGCTACTGGATTTCGTAGAAAGCTCTTCATTAAAGAGAAWCAGAGAAAAATAGCAGGATCTACTATGCAAACACACTCAAAAATGTGATGCCAAAAAGAGTTTAAGAAAGCAGAGAACCCTCCTGCTGCAAAAGGCTTCCTGGGACGGTTTAACACAGTTCAAATGCGCTGTTAGAAAGTACGTATTGCATCTTGTACCAGTTGGGTATTAATTTGTAGCGTTATAAACAACTGAGTTTTATTGAGAAAATAGTAATGAGAAATACATGCCTGCAGTAAAATGTGCATCATCTGGTGTGCATTTGACTTCACACATGAAAGCTATTTGTCCTGGCTTGCTGCCAAAGCCTGCAGTGCTGGAGCTCATCAGGCGGGAAGCAGGACACTGAATTCCCTAGGTCAGCAGCCCAGGCTTCTCTCCTCAGGAGTTCGGGAAGGAGGGCCTCCCTCCTTGTGTGCGTTATGGCTGCATTTGTTTGATTTTTAAGCTGTAGTATCCTCCGTCAGCATTATAATATTTGCCGAGTGGTCATTATTAGGAGCTGTTGTACAAGATTCCCTCAGTGTGTATACAAGGGTTTTAAGCTGTTGTCCAGATATCCCAGAAAATCCCCAATAAATGATACAGTACTGCCCTGTGCCAGCCCCCAGACCGGGCACTGGGGGCTTGCCGCATAAGGGGGATTTTTTGCATCCTGCTGGAACGACGCATCCCGGTCACTCCGTTTGTCGTTCCCAGGATCTAGGGCTCTGGAAGAGGGGTAAGGCATCCCCTCATGGAGACAACRGACTTTGATCAATTAAAAACAAAGGGACAAGGATCATGTCTAACCTGTTTGTACGTCATTGCACTTTCCAGTCCCCTCTTAAACTGCTTCATGAGTTAGTTGAAACTCAAAAGAACAGACCTGGTGATAAAAAAGACTGAAAAGGAAGCTTAGCAGGGGCGAATTTTTAACATTCTTGGGGCTGCAAGCCTGGGCAGAAGGCAGTGCTGGGCTCCCGCTGCAAGGCGRGCGCTTTTCCCTGCTTCCCGGCCAAGCGGGGCTGTTTTTAAAGGTTCTCCTTTTTAACGTGGTGAAGAACTCCTGATGAAGTGATTAATGTGAAGGGGCCAAATCCTGGCAGCGGGGCACGATGCCGCTCCGGTAGGGCGCAATGGGGCCGGGCGGCGCTCGCCTGCCGGCTGCGTCGCCACGAGGAGGCGCTGAGGAGACCGGGGCCGCTGCCCCCGGCGAGAAGCGCCAAGAACGGCGCCAAGAACCGCGACCGGGAGCCGTGCGAGCGGGGCCCTCACCCGGCCCAGGCCGCCGCCTCGGCGGCCGTTTAACGGCCGTGCCGCCCGGGGCGGGTGGCGCGCTCGATGCGCTCGGAGCGCGGCTGGAGCTGCCTGGCGGGCGGCCGTTGGCAGCGGCCGTTGGCGGCGCCGCCATGAACGGGCTGGCGCGGGGCCTGCGGCGGACGGC